TTGTTGCTACTCAGCCTTGGCTTGTGTGTGGGGGCTACAACGAGTTGATCGGGGATAGCGTGGTTGAGACTTGCCTTGCTGCTTTCGGTGGGGTTGCCATGTCTTCTGGTGAGCCCACTCGGTGGGATGGCGATCGCTGCATTGACTGGCTGGTGACAAACCGGCCACGCGCGGTTACAACGCCTTCGCTCTTGAGGGTGGTCCTCAGTGACCACATTCCTTTTGAATGTATTCTGCGTCAAGCGCCGCATGTGGCGCAGCTTGGGCAGCTTCGCGCTACGGCCCAACTTGAGCGGCCGGCTGGGGTCAACCCCTCTGCGTGGACTAATGCCATCGCTGCCTGTTGGCGGGAGAACGATGCGGCGCAGCGGTTTCAAAGGGACCTGGCGCGCGGCGGCCTGGGCTCGGTACAGCAAGAGTGGGACACGTTCCAGTTACTCTTGACCCAGGTTCTGCTCGAAGTGTGCGCTCGCTTGAGCCAGGGCGAGTCGCTGCCATCAGCCACGCGAGATGCATGTTTGCGAGCCGCTGTGCAAAGGCCCTTTAAAGGCCAACTGGCCCAGCATATCGAAACCGCTCCGTCTCAAGCAGGGGTCCGGCATCAGGCGACGGTTGTTAGCTTGTTGCTACGAATGCAAGCGCTTGTCGTTTCGTGGTTAGTTCGTTGTCTCCTGCACAGCAAGTTGAGCTTAATAGTTTGCGTGCTCGATTGAGCCATCGTCTTGGTGAGCAGCTTGAGCTTCGCGCTGTTTTGGGGCACATCAGGTCTTGGCGGCGTCGCCGCTTTGCCTCAGCAAGACTGGGCTCCGCCTTCTGGCGCTGTTTTGGCTGAAGTTGCGAAAGGTGGCAAAGGTTCAGCTGGACCTGATGGTTGGTCTGGGCCGGAACTATCTGCGTTGCCTGTTGACGTTTTTGACACCTTTGCGCTGTTGGGCTCGCGTTGGTTGGACATGGGCGGTGCGCCCTCTCAATTTCTTGAAAGTCGCATGATTTGCTTGCCCAAGGGTGGCAAGGTCAGCGCCGATCATGTCATTGGCGTCCAGGACACTCGCCCAATCACCGTCCTTTCTGCTTGGTGGAGAGTCTGGTGTGGCGCGTGGGCCAAGGGTCATGCCCGCAACTGAGCGCGGGCAAACATCCCGGAAGCATTTGCTGTGGCCCATGATAGGTCATGCGGTGAGGTTGTGGCTGACCTGTTGGATCAACTGACGTCTTGCTTTACTAAAGCATTTGACCTGCTTGACCCGGCCGTGACACGTGAGGTGTTGCTGCATCTTGGATGGGACCGGGCCTTTGTGGAAGTTGCCGTGCAGGTTTGGCAGCGTCAGCGCCGCTGGATTAAGTACCAGTCCCACACTCATCCCGAGCAACTTGCGGGGCCTGCTATGCCTCAGGGCAACTCGCATCTATGCGGATGACAGAACTTTCACCGGAGCACGTGCTTGGTGTTTGCAGGAGCGGTTTCAGCACTGGCAGGCTTGGACTGCCGTGGGGCTTCAGGAGAACGCCAGGAAGGCGGCTGCGGTTGCGTCCACGCCGGCTCGCCGGGCTATCCTCCGGCGGGCCGCCTGAGCAGACGCGGCACGATGTGGAGTTGCTTGGGTGTTGCACCAGGGTTGGTAGGCGTGGTTTGACACCCAAAGAGGCTGGTCGTGTTGCTGACTGTCGTAAATGCTTGACGCTTCTTGCTTGCGTGCGGTTGCCCTTTGAGCGCTACTTGATTGTTGCCTACTGGTGGATCGCGCGATCCCCTTCGCTGCACATCAGCAAAGGCTTGTGGAGCGCTGTGCACGTTGGAAGCCGTCGCATGCGCTCTGCGTCCCCGTGGCTGCGGGCGGCCTTGTTTGGCGGCGGCATGCATCTGGATGTGTTGTTTGCCACCCAGCTTGTTGGGGTGTTCACTCGTCGCCGGCCCTTGATCTGGGACACGCAGGCTGGATCGCCTGCGAAGGCCTTGTCCGGCTGGTTGATATGTCATGGTTGGACTGAGCTTGGACCTTGGAGCTGGCGGCATGCCTTGAGCGGACGCACCTTGGATCTGCATCGCGAGGGTGAGGCCGGCGCGCGGCAACATGCTGTCCGTGCTGCTTGGCGGGCCTGGTGCCTTTGCCAACATATGGCGTCCGATCGGCGTGATGCTGATTTGGACTGCTTTGCGCGTGGCTACTTCGGTCACATCAATTTGGATCGCACGCGAAAGTTTGCGGCGTCTGGTCCGGAGGCCCGCGCCGTGTGCACTGGCGCTAACTTCTCGCCTGCTGCACTTGGTGGCCGCCGTCCTGATCGGCCTTCGCAGGAATGCGTTTGGCAGGGGTGTTGTGAGCTTGGCACGTTCGATCACATTGTGTGGACTTGCCCCCGTAGACCCGTGAATACTCCTATCCCTCCCCGGCCCGGCGAGTTCCTTTCGTCTCGCTTCGGGTGGGTGGTTGACGGGCAAGATGCGGACATGTTCGCGGTGCATGGTTGGTTGGTGCATGCTCAGAAGGCCATTTGGCGCGCGGCTCATGGCCCTTCTCCATGAGTGCGGCGCCTTGACCTTCGTTTGCGCTTGGCTGCACGCTGCGACTGGCCTTTCCAGTCCTGTGGTTAATGGTCGCTTTTGGGGGTGTTGGTTTTCTTCCCCCCCTTGGTTGGTGGTTGGTGGGCAATCTCGATGTCTTGCTTAAGGCTTGAGTGCCCTTGCTTGGGAGGGTGGGTTGCCTTCGGCTGGCCCACTTCCGTGTGCAGTTCGGTTGGGGGCTGCCACACGTAATCAACGTCTACACACGTCGGTGAGGTGAACGCGGTTTTCGTGCAGCAGACCATGAAGACAGCAAGTTCCGATGAGGAGTTGGCGTTCAAGCAGAAAGAGAAGGCAGGGCAATGGCAAACGGGAAGCAAAAAACACAGGTGCGTGCGCGCGCGTGTGCGCGTTTGTGTCAGTGTCTGTGTCTGCGCGTGCGCCTGTGTTTCTCAGAGCAACTTGTTTTTGCGGTTTGAATGCAAACCAAATGAGATACCCCGTCACTTCGGGTGTCCCCTTGCAAACACATGCGTTCAGCTTTGCCACGTGTCTGCTACCTATCGCCGGTTTTCCGGAAGTGGCAGGACATCGCCATGTACACCCGGAAGGTGAAGAAGCTGTTTCAGACCATGGACCAATCTGGGGACGGGTCCCTGAATCTGGCCGAGTTCGCGAAGCTGGTGAAGAGTCCCAAGCTGAAGTTTTGGATGAGCCAGTGTCATGGCCTTGCAACTATTTCGAAAATTCAATTCCCACAAATGTAATTGTTGCAATAGAATTGTGGTCCCGGATTTTGCAGTTCGGGGGCAGTTTTTTTTGGGGGGGTTTCTGGTTAGTTTGGACCCTCAGAACAGGACGTCATGTCCAAGCCACGACGGAAGCTGATGGCTTACAAAAAGGTTAGGCCTTCTGTTCGAGAGCAACCCAGGCTGGAGCTCGAGTATCACGACCTTTTGAGCTTGTTCGAATTTTTGGACAACGGGGATGGCGAAATCACGCACCCTGGCAACAAAAGAAAAACGAATGCCGCGTTTCTTTCTTTTTGCATGTTTCGAGCATGCGGACGTGGTCACAGCCTTCGATCTCGTCGGTGGATCGATCGCCGAGGCTGATGGAGTTTATTGAAGGCGCTGCGCGGCTGAAGGGCCACGCTAAGGCCTTGGATATTTGGCGCATGGAGACCAAGGTGGAGGCGACTGGGCGAGATTGCAAGCTTGGGGAACCCCCAAATTGTGCGGAGGTTTGGCTCATTTGGTTTGGGCCAAACCGTGAACACCTTAATATGCCTCAGTCGACCACACACCCAACCCTATACCTGGACGGCTTGTTTGGGCTGTCAGCACTTTGCAGGCAGTCCTCCCAAAAAGGCGGGCGAGCTTGGTGGGTAAAGCAAGCTTGCCGGCTTGAGGAGGTCGCTGTACTCTTTTGGACATGAATTCTACAATGTGCAGATTCCATGGCTCGTCAGGTGCTTTTTGAGGAAGTGCTGGCAATGCTCAAAGCCGACATAAACAGCCCTAGCACGAGTGCAAGCGTGCAGGACGTCTTCAACAATTCCTCGCGCCTTGCAAACAAAATAAGACTGCGCGCCTCTCGCGAAAGCAGCCTGATGTCCGCAAATAGACGACTCTTGTTGGTGTCCTTGTATCCCCATCCAACAAAACGGGGTTCTCTTCGAAGACACGGTCTTGTTCCTGCGTGGTGTTTTGATCAGCTGAGGTACAGGCACATCAAATCAGTAGTGCGGAGGTAGGCCGACCAAAGACCCGACATGCCGTCACTTACAACCCATGTAGAGGGCCCCAAAGGGGGCCAGGCCGCATGTCGGGCAATGCCCGACATTCAAAAAGAATCATCCGGCCGCGTGACTCTGAGGATTTTCGATTGCTTTAACAACCGCTCAGTAAGAGCCCTCGCAAAGCGAGGCTGTGTGTGATATTGTTCCAGGCTCCTTGTTTGAAGAAGTCACGAACAGTGCCTTCACCGGGCGTTGGTTCTGCGCCAGGCACTGGCCGCAACAAAACCATGGACTCGGAAAAGCAGCCTTTCCGGCTCCAAGCGACTTTGCAGTGGAGTATTCTCGTGGCAGGCAAGGCTTGAAGGGAGCTGCGTGGTTTGTGAAAGCTTCGGCTGTGAAGCTCGTATAGTGGATGGAGTCTTGGTTGTGGCAAAATGCCATAGGAGAGGGGTGTGTCTGATTTTTGTTAATTGTTTGGTGGTGTCAACATTCAACCAGACGGAAAACAACCATCTCGGGCAGGTCCGCTCAAAAAAGACAGACCCAGACTGCCAGACTCGTTCTTTGTCTCTGCGGAGCTGAAGTTGCCAAAGTGGCAACTTGTCACTCGTGCCCTGTGCCGATGGTGGCAGGCATGCGAAAAGAAGCGATTTGGCCATTTGACGCATGACTTTTGACAGTATGGGAATGTTCAGGTGGACACCAGAATCCTGCTTGAATTCCAGAGAGCGGCTCGATGGCAAGCAAACCTGGCAGGCGCCAGCGAGAGCCTTTTGGAGATGGCGGCCAGGAGAGATTAGGGATTCGGGGATGACGAGTGGCCGTGAGGGAATTGGATGGAATTGGGCCATTTCACCCAACTGTAAGGGGAAGGTTCAGGATGGTGGTTTGCTTGCTTGCAGTTTGTTTTGCGTTTTTTTTTCTCCTTTTATGGGTGTGTTTGCGGGGGAGGTTGAAGTTGTTACCCTGCTAGATGGTTGCGCAGGTTTTCGGCAGGGACGCCAAGGAAAGCTCTTGCTCTCGCAGGAGCTGTGATGTGAACCAGTGGCTTTGCGACTTTTTGAAGGCCGGGGCCGGCTCCTTGAGATTGAACGGCGTGGCTCCCCCCTACCCCCTAGGCAAACTAGGGTTACTTACCATGACTCACTACTTGCCCTCCCTCCCACAAACGTAGCACCTGTGGGAGGGTACCTGGAAGATCATTTTCCTCTGGTAGGGACCCCTGTCAAATGCTATGTTAGTGGGAGTGAGGGTAGGCAACTGAGTGCAGGAGTGAGGCAAGTAGCTACCGGCGCCTAGTTTGCTTTCCCAGCCATTTAGCTAGCTCTACCATCGAAGTTGGCTTGGGACGGCTGAGGCACAGCAGGGCCCATTTGCTGACGGCGGCTGGGTGCGCAAGTAAGTGCAAGAAGGGAAGCGTTCACCAGGAACCGGGTTAGTGTTGTTTGTTGCAATACTGTGGATGGACGAAATCCTGCACCACCTAAGAGACCCTGGAATGATCCTTCCCCTGCAAATACCAGCAAATAATGGTTTCAACCATGGTATCAAAGTGGCGCAAAATGAATTTTGTCCATCCACAGTAGGTCACCCATCCGGGTGTACCCTAGTGGGGATTGGGATCTTCACTGGGGGTACGATTTGGCTTTTGAGCCATGGCCATATGTTCAGGGATCCCCTACCCAAAGCGCCGAGCTTTCCGAGGCTTCCTTGCTGTGGCCAGCTACAGCCGCCGCACATTCCGACTGAGAAGGGCTTGGCCAGAGCTCACTGCGGACTATCCCATCCAGAGGCCACGGACGTTTTCTTGACTGCTATTGGGTTGGATGTTTAGACTTCAACTTTTCGGGAAATAAAGGTGTCGTCCACTAAACCCCCAAAAAGTTAAACTTTTTGCAGGGGGGGTCAAGAGCAACCAAGGTTTTTGCTGACCACGGTTCAAGGCCCCCCGAGATTTGTAACCCCCCCCCATGCGAGAGAACACTGGGCTCAATGTTCCAAGTTGTTTCTGAACCCCAGGGGAGGTGTACTTTGTTTGAGGGGACCCGTTTTGGGTGTCTACACCAGAAGCCTCACTTCCCCGGTTTGCGAACTTCAAAAACTTGCTGGAAAGATGATTTTAGTTTGCACACAACAAGCTTGAAGGTTTCCTGGGCAAAGCTCACGGAAGTGAGAAGCCACGCATATCATCTTTGAGATTCTTTCAGGCAAGCCCAAATCGTCAAGTTGCTTCAGTCTCCTGAATCTTGTTTGCGTTCCCCTGTGAGTTTTACAGGGACCTACTGGATATCTTTGCAGGGGCTTGAAACACATGGACATCTTTGCGCCAGGAAGAAGAATTCGGAACCGCCCGGGGATGGCACTGTGCGAGGGTTCTACAAAGAGAGCCACTTGGATCTGCGACATGTGAGCCAGATTATGACGAGCTGACAGATCCGGGGAGCAAACGAGCTTACCATTCCCTTTCGGGGTCTCCAAATGCCATGTTTCAGGGGAGGCAATGGCACGGAGAGAGATCATCTGATTTTCTGCGCGGACAAAAGTTGGCCTTTCTGAAGCCGCAGGATTGCAGAAACCTGTGAATCCCTTTCGAGGCAGACAACGGCCAGAGGGTCAGTAACCAAAACCGTCAGCCCAAAAAACGTCCCAAGCCTATGCGAAGTTCCACTTCCAAGTGGTCTTCCGGCCCGGCGGAAGCGAAGCTAAGGATACGGCTTGGAGGTGACCGACCCGAAGCAGTGCCTGCTGGAGGCCTGCAATCAAATTCGTTGGGGCGGTCGGATGGGCGACTCGATTGGAGAAACATGGAGCTGAGTTGTCTCTGGTGAAATTTGTCGGTTTCTTCTTGAGAACATGTCCCTTCATGGTAATTGGAAGGGTTGCTCCCTTTCCCCTGAAAGAACGCGTAGAACCAACAAAAACCCACCTGTTTGTAGAGACACATGGAGAACTGTTGTGTGTTACTATGTGTTGCTTTCCCATTGCTTGCGTTTTTTCGTGGTTTGTTTGGGGCGTTTTCCTTCTGCCAACGGATGTCGCCAGGGGGGCGACGGCGCGGCTCTGCGGCCCTTCGCCGCGGCGCGGGCCGGGCCGCCGCGCCTCGCGGCGCTGCTGGGCGGGGAGGAGGTTGCGGCCGGTGCTCCCCAAGGCGCGCGCCGGGCCGGGGGCGTCAAGCGTCCCACTTCGGGAGAAAAACGCATAGCTGTGGGTCAAAACCAATGGGATCCCATTTTGGGGTAGGTGAATTCACCACCCATTCTAGTCAATTTTAGTGAGGATTGGGATGTGCACTGGGGGTACGGGATTTGGAGCCATGGCCACATAGACCAAAGGCGGAGGTCTGTTTTGGTGTTGTTGTTTTTTTGTGGGGGGGGGGGGGCGTACTGTGGATGTTAATGAAATCCGTTCTCACCAGTTGATAGGTGATGGATGCCATTAGGGTTTCAACCGTGCCACCTGGGCCACGATCACAACCCGGGTAGATTCAGGATGAGGGACATTCCCCTGGCCAGAAATGGGTGTGGATCTCCGCCCCTTGAATTCTGTACATGGTCTTGGGTCGACCAGTTTGATACCGATCGGCTGCCAGGGCCCGGGCCGTTGCTGAAAAACGAAGGAACGGGACCCCGGAGGTTTCGGGCAGCGCGTCGGGTGCTACCCGGCATACCTGTTTGTTGGCATTCACAGGAAATCATCAGAAACTCGGGTTTCTGAACGGTGGTGCGAAATGGATTTCGTCCATCCACAGTATGGTTGATCTCAAAATTTGGCCAAAGGCAGCGTGGCGCTTTGGCTCGCTCAGGCGCCGAGCCGCTTGAACCCGGGCCCATCCGACTGCTGCCGGAGTGTCTCGGTTCATAAGTCCCACGTGAAGAAGCTTTTGGGTTCGGAATGGCTCACCCCAAACCAACGGAGATGTTGGAAACACGGACCCTTGGCAGACATCTTTTCCTGGATTGTCAGGGGCCAGTTGAATGGTTTCCGTCTGCGTCATTTCACAAACACGAGGGGACTCTCTTTGGGACTTTTTCAAAAGGAGCCCACGCAAGAGGCTCAATGGTTTTGACATGTATATGGACGCCACGCACGCACAGCACATTCCGCACTGCATACCGCAGTACACACACACACACATGTACACACCCAATGACAATGCCAAACAAGTATTGTCGCATGAGTCACGGTCAAAACATGCGGTTACCGTTTGGGATATCCGCAGATTAGCCACTGCATGAAGCTTGGTCAGTCACCCATCCCCAAATGGACCAGAAGCTACTGGATAGTTTGACCAAGCCTTGCCTCACAAAGGTCGTGGACACCTAGGGTTCTGGACGCATCATGACCTTTCTCCATACCAGCCATGGCACATATTGTGCAATTTTGGGAGGGTTTTTGAGGAAAGCCAACATTTTGACACGCCAAAATTGGAGAAACCCCCACCATCTTTAAGGACTGACCGGTGGTTTCCCTTTAAACCCGCAAGTGCCGGCTTGTAGGCCCAACATGGCCCAACCCGGTTCCCAGGCGAGCCACGAAGGCAAGCAGCAATAGTTTGTTTGTTTCTTGTTGGCTGGTTCTCTTGGTTACTGGACCCCAATGAACCCATTTGTTCTGCCTTTGTACCACTTGTTTTGGGTCGAAGGCAGGAAAAAGGGATCGGTCCAGGGTACTTAGTAAGTGGGTAGTAAGCCTGGTTGTAACCCACTTAGGAGGCTCATGACCATGGTAAGTGGTTCTAACCAGGCTGCTACCCACTTACTATGTACCCTGCCCCTTTAAGTACCTGCCTTTACCAGGCTGGCACGGAAGCACGGGGCAACCAAAACCCACAGGGACGTGACTTCTTCTGCGCGCTGCCAGCCTGGCTAAAGCTTGTTATTGGTCCGCCATGGCGCTCCACGCAGTGGGATTGACGACGCAGGACAGGCTCAAAGGCCTTGGGCCAAAGGCGATGGGGTACTAGGTCCCCCAGTTGTGCCCGTTGTGCCCTTTTGCCGTTTCTTTTTTGGGGGGTACTAAAACAGACCACAGGAAAAGGGTACCCTTATTCTAACCTCTCTGCTGCAGGGTAAACCCGGGGTAGAACATGTGTACACCCTGCTCCTAATACCCACTTGTTTCGGGGTTATATTTGGCAAACCCTTGTTTTGCCAGGCTGAATACCTCTTTGTTAGTCAGGGGTTGAAACCCCGCGCCTCCGCGGCTGGTCGCCCTTAAGGGAAACCAAGACATGGTGTGTTTGCAACATGTGACTGACTTTTAAGAGGGAGCCACTTCCAAAGCGGCTTGGTTGACCCTTTTATCCCCGAATTATGATGTCTACCATTTCGAGTCCCAAAGCAAACTGTAGAGTGGTTTATCCATTTAAGCAAGGAAGATACTGATGTTTTGCAAGCGAAGCCCAATTCAGCCCCTTGTTCCCAAATTAGTTGCTGCACCAAGGGACAACGTGTCATCAATACTAAACCAGCACTAGCAACACAAGAGCAAACCAAAAGCAAGCCAACTGCAACTTTTTGTGTTTGTTGTGCTTACTTGGTAAGCCAAGAAAAAGGTTTCAGCACCCCCCAGCGACATTGCAAAAGCCCCAAGTGCTGTCCCAAAAGGAGCCATGGGCGGGTTTGCAAGCAAAACGGCTGTTCTCCCCACCACTTTGGTAAACCCGAAAAGGTTGCCACGAAAAGATAAACATAAAGCAACTGCATAACAAGCCAACACCACCCTTTTTTCAATGGGTGTCTTCCAAACGCGGGGAGTCGCCTTTGCCTGTCCCGTAGGACAAGGAGGCCACCGTTAGGCTCTTCCAGGGCTTGGGCCTCGAGTTCACCCAGTACGGGGAAGGGCACCATATGGAGGCGAGGAGAATTCGCCAAATGATCCCACAGTGCAGTGGATCGCTTTTCAGCCTCTCCAAATGATCAGCGACGTCGGAAATTGGTTAGGGGATGTGTCAAAATAGGGCGCCTCCCAAAAAGATAAGTTTTCGCATTGGTCTCCCTCTAAACCACGTCTACACGTGCATCGCTCCATGGCAAAACGTCTCCAAGCCATCCACAAAAAAACGTCTCGCGACAAATGGCCCAGGTGGCCATCCATGGCAAAGAACAAGTTCATCCTTACCAACCATAAAACGCCCCTCTGCCCACTTCTGCACGATACCAGCGTTTCCCATTGAAAACCAACAAAACAAAACTAGTCATTTGGAAAGCCTGCCATTGATATTCATATTGCAGAAGTGGGCAATTCCCACAACCCTGGTTTCGATGTTGGCCCCAGATGAATAGCCCAGTTGCTTAATGCGGGGGTGTCCCGTTTTAGTGGGGGTTCATCGCTTCCAGAGGGAACACTCCCGCAATAATAGGGACGGGTTTTTTCATCTGGGGGTCAACATTATGGATTTCCTCTGGCTCTTGTGTTTTCACCGCTCTTCAGGCCAGGCAACCCCCTGGTGGTTTGAATTGGAACCCTGGTTGTTGAGGCTAAATGGGACTTGCGAACGCCTCTTGAAAATCAATTGCCTACCCCCAACTGCCGTACATTCGCCACCTTGAAAGGTGTATATGGTGTGTCTTGTCTTAGGGACTCCCCTCCAAAACATACAAAAGAAGACGAAGAAGAAGAAGAAGTGGTTTGCCGTGTAGTTGTCCTTCAAAACCACCAAGCACGGGGTACCCTCAAAAGCAAACCCCCATGATATTATATACATAAATATACTTATGTGTATTCCAAGTTCCCAAGTATGGACATGTTTGGACAGGGTTCCATCTATTTATTGAAGCCCTGAGTTTTTGTCTATCCGGCGGTACAGAAATGAATCCCTGGAAAAGCGGAGGTCGGTCACTTCCATGGATAAACTGAGCGGATTCCCCCTTGGCCGTTTGAGTAGGTTCTACCTGGCTTCGTTGGGTTTTTCAGATGTTTAGAGCCAACCAGCGCGGAGTGAGTTCCCGGAGTTCCGCCCGGAGTTCCGCGCTTGGGTTGGTTTGAACACCACCTGGTCGCCATGGTTTTGGGGAGGGCCTTCTGGATCAGGCGTTTTGGATCTGGTGACCCTGGCTGGACTGGATGTGGGCTTAACATCTGCCGGAAAATGTATAACTGAGTTGCCCAATGGTGCCCTGTTGTCTTTTTTTTTTGGGAAGGTTCCCCTTTAAAGTCAACCCACCCAAAAAACATGCACTGTTTTTTTCCCATGGCTACTGGATCTGAGAAGACATTAGCCGTAAACATTCTACCCCCACAGATGTGGGAATGATCCCAGGGTCTGTTGACAGACCCCATATGAGTATTTTTGAGTTGCAGCCTTCAGAAGGGAAACCCAAATAAATTGAGATTTCAGTGGCGGTTGATTGCCATGTTTCAAGCGGCCGGCACGGACTCCCTCTAACCTCTTGGGGGCACTCCCACCCTCCTAGGAAAAAGCGTCCACTTGAGGACGATGAACATAGACAAAAAGCATAGTTTTTTTTGGAGGGGGGCGGGGTTTACTGTGGACGGAAGATATCCTGCAGCAGTTGACAGGTGATTGATTCCATGCAAGTTGTTTCTTCCATCCCAACTGTTGCTTTTCTAGACCGCGGATTTTTGGATCCTCGCGCAGTTGGCTCCAGGCCACCACGGGTGGTATGACAATCATGGTGGACACCCTGGAGCTCATGAAGCGCAGCAAGCCGGATTACAAGCCACATGGGCGGCATGCGAGAAAAAAGCGGGCGGAGGTTCTTTTTCTTTTTCGCCAGCTTTTGCCCGGGGCTTTTGCGGGTTGAGTTTTCCTTTTTCGGGGGGAAAGGACGCAGAACACCAGCTCTCTTTTTTTCAGGGGGGGGACCCTATGTTGACACATACCCAAACAGGGGTCCCTTGTGGTTGGCAAACTTTTAAGCAGTCCATTTCAGGGATTTTTTTTTCAGTAGGGCGAAGCAAAGACTTTTCCAGGTGAAGGTTAGTAGCCTTCAGTCTTAGCCAGCAGCGTGTGATAAAGTTTGGAGTGTTTTCTTGAGACCTGGGGCTGCGGGCAAATTGTAGCTTTTCAAATTGTCATTTTTGATCACCCAAAGGTGACTTGAGGGAAATTATACATGTCATCACGTTTCCAGTTTTTATTCCCCCAAGGTAGGCTTATAAAAGGTTTCCCCCTGATGTGGCCAGCCTTTCGGTTCCTTAGGGTTTCGGGTCCCCTCGATGACTCGCAAGCTCGAAATGGGTACACTCCAGTTGGAAGGTTTGGATGGCGCAAGTCGTAACCCCAAGCGCTCCGATGGGATGAAAAGAAGATCAAGGAGCCAAACGCACCCGTTGTTTTTTTTTGCAGGGAGACGAACTCCTTTTTGGCTTTATGGACACCAAAACCAGAGGTTCTCTCCGGAGACTTGTGCCGTCCACCTGGCCTTCAAGTGCGACACTTCGGCAGCGGTCGATGAGTTGTTTGCCAAGCTCCAGGGCAAAGGGGAGACTCAGAAGGAGCAGTGGCTTTGTCCCCCGAAGTTCGGACCTGGACCCCCGAAGCGGCCGAAGCGATTGGTTCTTTGCTTGGTTTGCCCTAAGGGGTGCCCCAACAATACACCCGTGCGGCTTGTTTTTGCTCCTGACTTGCTTCATTGAGTCAGGGTACATACCAGGCCTTGATTCGAATCGCGCAGGAGCCGTGGGACGCCCCTTGGGGACAACGTTATGCCACAGTAAGGGACACCGGCAGCGGTGTGCTCATCGATTTATTCTCCGACTTGAGTGCGGAGTCGAAATGAGCTGGCGACCTGATGCAGTTTGGACAGACGAATGTGGACAGACGACCTGAGCTGACCCTACCATTGAGATATCTATCGCAATCGAAGCTCGATGATGGGTTTTCCCATGTTCCCTTCCTCTTCTACTTTTATAAGACTGGAGGTCCGGAGCGAGGTGCCGCGTCCTTTGTCGTCTGAGTCGGGAAAAAAAGAATCGATGGGGCGGGAAGTTTGAGCTCGAGGGTTCCCTGCTGGAGTTTCAGACCAGGGAAATGTTGCAGTACACTTTTGCCATCGTTCCTCAGGTGCAATCCGTAGAGGAGGGAGCCATTGTGGCCGGATGTGGCGGTTCGAAATAGAAGATCAATCGCAGCATTCAATCCAAGACCGGAACTGGCAGCACTATGCGGCACATTCCGGCGCTGGCCACCCAACGTCTCGCAGGGAATTCGCAAGCACCTCAAGCAAATGGTTCGACATTTCTGAACACAACTGCCCTTGCTACAGTATCCATACAAACCGGTATACCCAATTTCATCTTGACCATAGGATGTGTCGCAGAATGGAAACCCTCATTTCCCCCCGCTCCTCGACGTACTTGAGCAGCTCTTGTACCTAAGGAGTCCAAGGGGATGAAAGGAGGGTGGTTCGCCATGTGGGTAGCCATTTTGTTCAACGATGGGTTCCATTGATTAGGTCCCCGGTAGTTCCCTTTTTTGGGGAGGGTTCCCCTACTAAAATAGACTAGAGAAAAAGGGAGCCCTTATTCTAACCTCTCTACTCAAGAACCTAGTTACCTATGCAGGTTCATGGAATCACTGGGAATGAAGGAAGGCTTTGGTGAGCAATGTCTCAGGCATCCCTCGCTCACCGATAAGTAGATCATGATTCATGGTGTCAGCTGAGGGGGGGCGAGGGGGGCCTACTTTCTCCAGCGTGGGAATTGTGGTTTGCCCAGATTGGGAATGACTCATAGTATCATAGTTCCGTGCAGTGACCGGATAGGGAGTTGCGAGCTCTGGGTCTAATTCTATGATGGTGCCTAGAGAGCTTACTGACCACTTTGCCCACCGAATTCGCGGATTCAGCTCGAGGTTCCTGCGGCCTCATCCCTTAGCCACGCTGAAGCCGCTGCTGTGCACTCTGAAGTTGCTGCCCTTGCTGCTGAGGACGGGCCAAGAGATGCCGTGGGTCAAAACCAATGGGATACCATCTTGGGGTAGGTGCACCACCCATTCCAGTCTATTTTGGTGATTGGGATGTTCACTGGGGGTACGGGATTTTGACCCATGGCCATATCACAAGATGTCATGAGAGCACGTCCCCATCCGGAATCGAGGGAACTAGCTCGGTATCTTGGGGAACCCAGCCATACGTTTCCTTGTGTGTGTGTGTGTGTCAAAATACGGGGGACGTGAAAACTTGCGTTTTTCCTTTTGGGTTCCCTTTACCCTCAACAAACACCCACCCGTCAGGTCGTGAAAAGCTGCGAGCTGTTCAGAAGCTGTTGCAAGGGTCGACCCTCAAAATCAGCTTGAAAAGCTCATCAAGGGCACTGCCCCCTACAAGTCAGTGTATCAGGAGCTGAGTGGGGTTGATGCACAGTGGGTTGATGTACAAGAACTGAAGGAACTTCAAGCTGCATGGCGCTGAACTTTGCATGACGCATAGGGAACACCAGTGAGCCAGCTTAGACCCCCCCCCCAAAAAAAAAAGATGATATAGGTGTGTTCTCTAGCCATTTTTGGGGGTTCCCCTATTTGAGACATAGCCATGTTCTGTCACTAGCAAAGTCCTAGGAAGATGCAGCGGCTGCGAAGCCTTTCGCAGCTGCGGAAGAGCCTGATGCACCCACGTGCCTTGGTTTTTGACGATGGTGCAAGCCATACTGTGGTGGGAAACTTTGGAAGGTTATGGGAAACCCGTAAAACTAATGAAAATCATTGAAACTTTGAGAGAACCGCAGAAACCATTGGGAAACTTATGAGAAATCTGTCGTACCACTTTGAAACTATGGCTGAAACAATGTTCGTTGGTATTTATGGGGGAATTAAATCATTCCAGGGCGTCTTTGGTGGTGCAGGACGTCGTCGATCCACAGCAGGAAAATGGAAGCGACTCATTTTTGGGGAGACAAAGTAGGTAAGGGTCTTTTACCTAAGTTCACTATATGGTTTGCCTGGAAGCACTGGGGAAGGTTGCGCTTGGTTTGTAGAGCAGATGAAGCGTGGTTGGGAAGTTAGCCAAACCATGCTAAACCCCCAACACCCCAAGTTATTTAGATGTTTATTTGGCTGTGGGGCCTTCCGTCGGGAGCAATTCTAAGAGGAGCTGCCATACTATCCTTTCCCTTTCGTTTCCGTCTATGACCTCCAAAAACAAGTACCCTCCAAAAGACTGTGTGTTTGTGTGCGCGTGCTTTATTGAGTATCCCTTTTGTCTTTTGGTCTTGACACCTCGCATGCTGTGTCAGAGCTTGTACCACGATTGTGGGGGACAGCGTTTCAGGGCCCATTCCTACCAGGAGAGCCTCCTTTATAGTGAGAAAGTACTCTGGATGCGGCAGATGAGGTTCGGAATTGATGCCACTGTCTCAGCCCCTCTTCCAGCGCACCGCCTACAGCGTCTCGGGAGCCATGTGATGGGTCCGTTAAATCGAAGGGCGCAAATTGAGTCGACCAAAAGCAACTTTTTGGGGAACATCTTCACCCCCACATTGTCCAAAACTAACCCTAAACCCAGCACAAGCCGATTCCGAGAACACTAAACCCCGGAGCCTGTTCCCACCCTAGCCATAAACCACCTGAAATCCAACCTAATCCAACCCTCATTTCTCACCAAATCAAATGAGTTAAAATCGACCCCAAGCCCGCCCTTCATCACCCGAAGCCAATCTCAAGCGTATCCTGACGCCGCCCCAAATCTGAGACCAACTTTAATGATGAGCTTTGGTCCAGAAAACTGCGCTCGAACAAGTAGCCAGGTGCGTTGAAAGGAAGAATAACACATAGCGTGGCCAGCTACACAGAAACTTAGAATCTTGGTCGAAGCACGGAGGACAACAGATGGTGTTTCTGTTATTTGAATTTCGCCCGCTGTAGTGCACTTTCCGTTGCCGTTTTGTCTCAACAGATGCGCGCTCCCAGTGGTACTTGGTCCTAATCCCCAGTCTTCGCCGCATGCAACTGCTCGCTGCGCTGCAAGGCCTTGCGAGAAGGGCATTCTACGGATCGGAAAATGTTGCCTTGGAAGTGGTCACATGCCCCTTGGGATTCAGGTTCTGTATGATGCGATCCAAGCGAGCGAGCAGGCAAACAAATGCGAGGACGTGGGGACAGCAGCAGCGGGTCTGTGTCTATGACCGAATCGCTTTTCCTGAGCCTCAGCTAGTGCTCTGGTCAATGCACGGTCTGGTGGCAACACTTGGACCTGTGACGGCGGACGTCAGCAGAAAAGTCCCCAACGTGGCCGAAAGCTTTTTGTGGATGACGGATGCATCTATGCACCAACGTTTTGGCCGCTACGTGTGGGTGGGAAGCTTGGTCAAACCACCACCTTGAAAAGAAGGAAAATCCGGATATGCCAAGAACGGTGTTCTCGTTATTTCTACAGATGGTGGAGCCCGCGCCAACTGGACGTGCAACGATGGAACTCATGCTCTCCGAACGCGATGACAACCAGTACCTGGTAAGCCTGGATCTCTCTCTGGCTTTTGACAGGCTACAGCCTCCCGCAGGCGCAGATCGTGACAAATAGGTTGGCTCAAGGGGATGGTGGGAATGCGTCTGGCTGTCCCTGCGACGACAGACATCTCGCAGGGGTTCCCGCTGACACACTTGCGAACTTTCGTGGATGACATGTTTCACGGGCCCCATCGGCCGACGAAGTGAAGCAGTGGTCCGGTAGGATTGGCGTGTGCGAAAATATGGACAAGATCGTCCACTTGGAAGGCGCCAGTTCCTCGCTTTAGGCATCAGCCCGCAGCTGGTGACCTTTTTGGGCCGGAAACAAGCACACTGTGGCATCCGCGCTGCTAAGAGCACATGTTGGGCCCGTTTATGTGCGTCTTGTGAAAAAACGTGACTGCGGCCTGGCCAAGCAGAGAGGGGCCTCCCATGCAAACTGCGCTGCATCGATTTTGGCATCACCGCTCATCCCGACGATGTAGTCTTGGAAGGCGAGCGTGATCAAAGCGCAGCCCGACCGGACACCAACAATCCAGACAGGAGAGTTTAAAGCGAATGAGGTTTACCTTGAGCCAACTGAGAAGCCACCCTGGCTCCACCTTCCGTGAAAGTCGCACGCAGAAGACATTGCGCTATCTTTTTGAACTCTTGCGTCTTCGAAATGTCAGTGAGGGCCAGGGTTACCAGGATCTCCCGTCTGGTAGCTTTGAGCAGCAGATCCAGCTTCGATCATGAGTGCTACAAGCGGGGTAAAACAATGACCATGCTCCCGCAGCAGTGAAGTGGACCATGTCACAGACCGTGTCATCCACCATCAGTGAAGCGCTGGCAGGCTTGCTAGCAGGCTTACAAGCGAGGCACAGGGGAGCCTCGCGTTGTATGCCATGGGAACCTACGAGGACTGGCCACCATCTTGCAAGAGTTGAAAAGAAATTTGGTGGCAAGGCGGCGAGCACTGACAGCTAGGCCGAAATTGCACACCTTGCGTAGTGTGTCTCTGACACCGTAGCAGACGTCATTGCCCTCTTCGAACGTAAAGGGAAGGCCCCTTACTTACCTGCTGGACTCTGGCAAAGCAGTGCCACGCCCCATGGAAGCATACCCGTAGGTAAATCAAGGCCCATCGCCATTTGAGCACATGGTGTAGGCTAGAATTCACTCCACTTTGGTCACTGCTACACTCTGGCCTTTGACCATCTTGACCCTTGCCTGTGCACCAGCTCTTCTGCGTACGGGCATGCCGCCCAACGTGGAATTGGTCATTTGCGGAATATGGGTTTGTCTTTTTTTGGTGTGTCGTTGAGTTGCTTCAAAAGGCAGAAGCTGGGACCTCCCCGAATCATACCCCCAAATCATACCCCCGAATCACACCCCGAATCATACCCCCGAATCATACCCCTAAAACGCATGCTGCAAGATGCTACTGTTCTTCTACCGTTTTGTGTTGTTCACTGCCTCCGCAACAACACTACTACTCCAATTACTACTACTACTACTACTACTACTACTACTGCTACTGCTACTACTACTACTGCTACTACCGCGACTATGAGGATTACTACCACTACCACCGCTACTACCGCTGCTACTGCTAGTACTTCTGCTTCTGCTACCCTTACTACTACTACTACTACTACTACTACTACTACTACTACTACTACTACTACTGCTACTGCTACTGCTACTGCTACTGCTACTACTACTACGACTACTACCTTTATTCTTACTACTATCACTACTACGACTACAACCTTTACTACTACCACTACTACTACTACTACTACTACTACTACTACTACTACTACTACTTCTACTTCTACTACTACTACTACTACTATTCCTGCTGCTGCTGCTACTACTCACTGCTACATACATCATTCTGAGTCTGTAATCAGCGCCGTTTTGCACCCAGCCGAATCATACCCGCGAATCATACCCGAATCATACCCGAATCATACCCGGACAATGAGCTTCCCCTGGCAAGGCTAGTGGGAAGTCTTTTTCAAAGCGTCCGCACCACTACATCCTACTGCTACTACTACCACAGCTACTACTACAGTCATCATTCTGAGTTGTAATCAGTGCCGGTTTGCACCTAGCCGAATCATACCCGCGAATCATACCCGAATCATACCCACGCAGTGAACTTGCCTTGCCAAGAACGGAGCCAAGTCTTTTCAAAGCTTCCGCGCCGCTACAGTCGCTGCTACTGCTACTACTGCTGCTACTACTACTACTACTACTTCTAGTACTACTACTACTACGACTACTGCTACTACTACTTACTACAACAACAACTACTACTACTACTGCTGCTACTACTACTACCACTACTACTATTGTTACTACTACACTACTACTACTACTACTACTACTACTGCTGCTGCTGCTGCTGCTTCCGCGAATCATACCCCCGAATCAGACCCCGAATCATACCCGCGAATCATACCTGCGAATCATACCCCGTACTCAAACCTTCCTGCCCGGCCACCGTAAAAAAATACAAACCCATATGGAATACGCAGCAACACCTACTTGTCTCTGATAACCAATAACCAGAGCCTGCCACACTTTTGCGCTGACTGTACTAGCCTTCCTCCTTGTTGGCGTCTCACAACATCCACTAGACTCCAGAGGGCAGACGCCAGAGCTCTGAAACCCTCGTGACATGTCGCGAAAGCGTCCACTTGCAGTTGCTGCGCCGCCGCCTGGCGCTCAACAACGTGGCCTGTGTGGACGACATGTTACCATTGCGAGGCATCGGCCGAGCATTCTTGACACAAGATACGCACGGCAACGCCGAAATTCCACCTCCACAGCTTGCCAAAAGGACACATCTCTCCTTTTCATGCGGTCAAAAGCGGCAGGCAAAACCGTTGAGCGAAATACGCACAGTCGTTGCAAGCCATAGAGAGCGCCAAAGCCTGAAGGCATACAGCAGAACCCATCTCTTGAGGTGTGTGGCAAGAATGCTCAGAGCGAATATTTGTCCAAAAGACTGACGTTTTGGGACTGACGTTTTGGTGCGTCAACTGTTTCACAAGACTCGCTGGTTATGGCGGAGGCAGCAAAGCCCGCCGCGAGGGGCTGACCTGCAGACAAAGTCAAAAGCTTCCCCATGCCAAGTTCCGCATCACTGCCGCTTGGAAACGCCTCGAGGGCCGTTCCACGGTTGCCGGCCAGCTGGCGCACTTGCAAGCATCTCAATGGCTTGTCAAAGGTTGCTGGACAACTCTTCGCGAAGTGTGTCAGAACTATGATGTACTACTCCTTCAAGAAACTGGCTTCCGTGACCATGAAGAGGAAGAAGCTTTCCGACGCACGGCGTTGCGGAACAAGGTTCTGGAATATGCAAGGTCACACCGCCGCGGGCAGGGGGTGCCGACCTGCGTGCGTCCGTTGCTGAAAAGTGGCACCATCACGAAGCCGAAGTGATGGCAGCACAACTAGAGGGGATCATCCTCTTGAGCATGTACTCTTTGGTTCAGGGAACAAGTGGCACATTGGTTGGCGGCAGACGGCGGTTCCAGACCTTGGGCGCAGCGAGTACTGCGACAAGGATCATCCATCCTCTCAAGAGGCATGGACGTGCCGACCGGCTATATGTCGGGGTGGACGTATCCCACACACATCATGATTCTGCTTCGCTCAAGTCCTTCACTTCCCAGGCGTTAGCCAAAGCGGGCGGCATTCCGGGGTGTTTGGGCAGAAGGTTTTTCAAGTGGTGTCCAGCTCTTCTTGTGATGCCGATGGTGGCACCGCGAAGCCGCCGCCTGCATCCCACTCAGTGGTGACCAGGCGTTGCCAGATAACCACGGAGGTGTTTTCAGGTCGGGAGAGATCTGCCTTCCTATACCAACTTCCAAGTTTGCCTCAACGAGCTTATGATCGGCCACTACATGATTTGCAAAGCGCAGGGCTCAACCAGGCGGGTATCGTTATCACCATAGTCAACACATCTATTCGCCTTGCGGGGCACTTCTTTCTGCTTTTTTCTTCTACGCCGTCAGGAAACTCCAATGAATCAGGTATACACTAGTAACTATGCCTGATACTGCCAAGGAAGGCGACAATCCCCATCGCCCCGCACTGCCACGCATCTGCAATCACATGCCGCACGTTTGGTTCAATGGCTGGTGGTTGCCACACACAAGCACAAACTCAGCTTGGTTCTGCGGAACCGCCCTCAAGAGACGCTGGCCATTGCTGGCCCAAACTGCGCCAATGCCTCTTGCAGGCTTGCCGTGTTGGGGAAAGCGGCCTTAATGGCTGGTGTCAGTGTAAGGCGCACACCTATCATGCTTCCGTCCCCTTGTACAGGTCGAGGCGTCGGGCGCGAACATGTGTAGAATCATCGTCGTAGAAGCGGACGCCCGCCACATAGTACTAGGAAGATCATATCAATCAAATCCTACGTGACTGCCCGGCGTTTCTCGAGCATAAATGACAACCAGCCAACTCCAGGCGGTGTCCGGCAAGCTCCATGGCAAAGCCGCCGGGCCAGATGGGTGGTGGGGCGCCAAGCTACAGGAACTGCCGCAATCAATCGTGACCTACGTGGCTACGTGGCTCAACTTGATTGAGCGCGAAGGAACAATACCCGAGCAATGGCAGTGGGCCAGACAGGCCCACATACCAAAGGAGAAACCATCCGATGATGGAACGCATAAGGCTGAAAATTACGACCCGTCCCCCTACTATCATGCTGGTGTCAGTGGTGGAGTTTGTGCAGACTCCAGGATGAAGGCTTGAACTCTGAAGCCTGCAACAGTGAACACTACATGATTTCCCTTGACTACAGCCTGGCTTTCGACCTCTTTCACCAGGTCGGCCTGCCTCGCCGCATCAGGCTCATGCTCAGGAACGCTTGGATGAACCAATCTCGCCTCCTCATGTACGCGAAGTGCTGCCGGATGCACAGCTCGTACAAACGAGTCTTCCCCATAAAAACGCATGGTCCACGGTTGCCATGACGCTTGCACTAGCCCCGGCAACTCAAACCTTTTTTTGTAGACGACCGTACGTTTACTTGCCCTGACATAAATGAGACCATGCAGATAAAGCAGGAATGGGTTCTTTGGTCCGATCGACTAGGTTTAAATGAAAACGCAAGCAAGGTCGCGCACTTCCACGTGCACGCAGCTGGCAGGCGAAATTTTGCCTCTGAAGGGGGTGCGCCTTGATTAGGTTACGGCACACCCGCGTGTGCTCGGGGTTAAACTCATAGCTAGGCAAAAACGTGGATCTACAAGCGCGGAGAAAGATTGCAGAAATTCAAGAATGTCTTTGTCACAACCCATGTCAAAGCTAGCCTATAGCTGGATGCCTGGGATACCCAATAAAAGAGAATTCTCCAAAATAGGGTCAGCGCTGGCCTTTGCACTGATAAGCGCTCTCAGGCCTCAGTGTACCTCCAAGCAATGCTCCGTGGCAACTCGCTTGATCCCTTCTTCCGCATCATGTGGACTAACGAGCGACGTGTAGGCGAAACTTGCACGTGGCAAGCCGCCACAGGCTGGTCTGGCGCGATCAGGATGGTTTGCCGCATGTGCTCAACCTCATTCTTCGGTTTCCACTCGGCATCGCATTCGACCATTGAGAAGCCATGTTCTAGGTGGCACGCCGCCATCGCCAAGGTGCTACATTTTCGGATCACTTGTGCCCAGCCTTTGGGTGTTCCAAGAGGCGTGTGCATCATGAGGTCGTGGCTTGCCGGTATAGCGCCTGCAATGACAAGATACGGAGTTGGAAGTCCAGGCTCAGGCTGTGTCCTCAAAGTAATGCGCGGAGGAGCGGGCATGCGCACAAGCTTTCCTGCAGAGCATATACGATGGCGCTTTGCACACTGGGATGCCGAACCATGCATCCCCATACTCCTATGGCCAATGCTTGCGTTGGAAGGACGACTTTTTTGAGTGACGGGAAACGACTCCTTTTACTACACCTTTTGGCCAGCGACAACAAGATGCAGACCCGAAGCACTTGCTTCGTGAAGCCTTCCGACCGCTTCACACTAAGTTCCTGCGGCCCGGCAGGCGTGAGGCGCGCGAGTGCCAGGCGGAGGAGATGCAGTACGAGAGCAGACGTGCGCACGTGCACGCAGCATGGCGGCCAGTCAGGCCGCCTGACAGGTGCCATCAGTGAGCCCTGCGGCGTTGGCCCTGATGAAGCGCAGTGAATGCCCGAAGTGCCCCTAGTGTGAATACACACCGCGATGCTAAGCAGAGTGAACGCAGACAGTCCTCTGCAGAGTGACCAAGTGCTCCGGTGGCTGCTTCAGGTGAGCAGTGAAATCCCCCGCTGTCACTTGCCATTGCAAGGCCCAGGCACAGAACAGCGCCATGTTGCGCAATCTCAGCACAAGAGCAGCTGTAGAAGTTGGCTAGGACGTCGGCGTGAAAGCAAAACACGCCGTCCGGCGTACCTGACTGGAACAAAGCAGGGGAATGTGAGCCTTGAAAGAGCATTGTCGTGTTGTTTTGGTTGCCGTGTAGTTTATTTTCTGTTCAAGGTCGGATTCATAAACCCTCCCCCCCCCCCGGAAAGTGGGCGGAAGGTAGTTGTAGGTGGTCGCACGCATCCAGAGATTCAATAGGGTCTTACTTGGGCCGGACTTGAAAAGAATCGATTTTCTGTGTGAAGGGAATTAGGTTCTGCCGAGCGTGTCGTGCATCTTAGGGGTGGTCGTGGTGTAGTTTTGGATCCCGAAACGCGCCATAGTAATCGGTGGCATCATTGAATCCAAAGTTAAGATAATTTCCAGTGTCTCTATCTTCTCATAGACACAAATGAAATTAACACTGAGATCACAGGAGCTTATCCAGTCTTTCCAATGCAGCAGGCCAATCCAGTTTGTAGGGTCGTTTTTTGGTTTAGCGTTGGTTCGTGAGTTTTGTCCGTTGCTCTTTTTGGGCTTGGGTTCTCCAAGCTTAAATTGAGTGCATTTGCTAGCTAAACTTTCTATTGTTGGGATTTCTGTCCGATGGTAGTGTCCTTTTCGGATAGATGAAGTAGTCTGAAGGACATGCTGACCAAAATAAACTGCATTAATATATTGAACACTTATCATGCTTCATAGCGGGTTTTTAAAACATCATCATACACAGTACAGTCATACTTAGATTGTCGTTTTGAGGATGTCACCAGATGTGATGAATCGGTCTGGGGAAGGTGCACTTCTCGAGAAGTGAGCTTGGATGGTAAGTTCAATCGGGCATGAATGTTGAGCCGGGACCCTCTGGTGGACATCACTTTGAGGATGAATGTCCACCCAGCACTTTTACGGTGATTCCAACTCTAAGTCTTCCCTAGGCACCGAGCAAAGACACTCAAGCAAATTTTGGGCATGCTTCAAAATGGCTAAATCTTTGCACCCCCAAAATGAGCTTCGGATTTCATCTAGATATCCCTTTCAACAAACCCTAAACGGGTTGCCCGGGCCTCAAACACAAACCCATGTGTGTGTTTTGGCTCGGTTCCTAGGCCCAGGCAGGCGCTATGCGCTGAGTGCGGAAAGGATGTTGTGTGAGCAGCTGATGGCGCCCGAGGAGATGACTAGGGGATGCTAGGGGATAGCAGGATACTGTGGATGGATGCGAAGTCCGTTCGCACCAGCTTTGGATGGTTGAAACCATTGCTTGTTGGTGTTTGCGTTGGGGAATCTTCGTTCGGATACTGTGTATGGTTCAACATCCCTTTGATTTCACCACGGTTAATGAAACTATGGGAATGAAACCAGAACGTTGTTAGGGTATTAGCATTCCAGGGTTTTGGTTGGTGGTGCGAAATTTGTTTCGTCCATCCACGGTTGAAATCATCCAAGTGGGGCTTTCATCCTGGTTTGGTCATCCTCCCTAGTTGCCAACAAGGGAGTTGTGGCACCTACTTTCACCCGTGTAAAAAGAAATCGTGACGTCCTCCAAGCGGTCCCTGGTTGAGAAACATGCCTGTGTCAGTGGCTGCCATGCTTGCGTACACCAGTGCAAGTTGAACAACACACCCCCACTTTGAAACACAATTCTGTGTTTGTAATGGAAGATATGACTATTAATTTTCACGGCACCGCCCTCCAACATGGTTGGTGGCCACAAATCTGTGCAAATGTTGTCCGCCACGGGGTGCTCGTACACAATGAGGTCTCTCGGAAACCCCCCTGTAGACTTATGGCGATGGTCCGAACCAGGAGTTGAGTTTTGATGGCGCATATGTCTCCAGACAAGTGAGGTGAATTCCCATTTGCATGGAGGACAGCGGCCACCGTCTCTCGAATGCCGCCTTCCCCGCAGTCAGACTTGGTTGAGACATTCCCAGTTATTCAGCGGCATCCTGTAGATCTTGTTTTTTCCTACAATTGTTGTTCCCCACAAAACATGATGACCCCCAAAAGATCTGTTCCCTTTTTGGCATGACAGTCGCTGGACAAGTGGGCATTGGTTCATGTTGGCTGAGAATAGGCCATCAGCCATCAGCTCGCCCGGCTGAGAGAATGACAAGAAGTTTGGGTTCTGCCTACCTGGGCTTGTTGTTCCCCGAAGCATGCCACATACAGTCCAAAACAGCACCGCCAAAACCCACCTTCTCTATCGATTGGCCATGCTTCTCACAACCATAGTTGCGAAACAAAAAAGCAAAACACTCTCACAGCAGATCCCAGGTCCCAATAGTAGGTGTATAACCCACAAATGTAAAGGCCACGAACCCGCGTTTGCAAGCAAGGTCCTCGTTGACTGTGTACAAATATGGTGACCATTGGTGGTTGCCAATTGGTGTCCCTTCAACACAACTCCCCCTACCAAAGCAAACATATGACAAACTGGTATCAACTTCAACATGGCGCACCTAAATGGGCGCCATTCTTAGGAGACATCGTGCGTCACATCTCATCTCCGCAAGTTTCGATGGAAGCTGATTGTTAAATGCTGTGCACCCACAAGCATGGTTGGTGAACATCAAACCCCATGATGTCCACTAAACGATCTGCAATCTAAGATCATACCCATATGTACAATGGTCAAAAGACCTGTTGAATTTCTTGGATGCAAACAATTATCACATATATATATATATATATGTATACATATATGAACCCCTGTTAGGAGATTTAGACAACTCCTCGTTCCCTATTTCCCTTCAAACCAACCCCCCAAAACTGCCAACAAGATTTGCCGCATGGAGGCCTAACCGTTTCTAGGAGTCTGTAGGAGACCTCCGTCACCTTGAGGTGGGATTTGTTGCACCGTAAAGAACGAAAGAAGCCAACAGCACTCTGCAAGGGGTCTGTTGGGTTAGGTGCCCTTTACCTTGTTTCTTGGGGAAGAAAAAACCCAATGTTCCTGCTACGAATCCCCGAGCGCTATGAACCAGGGGAGGTTAGACAACCCATTTTTCAATGTGAAGGGTTGCGAGTTTGGGGTTGGCTGAGGTCGAGGTGGAGTGGTTGTTGGAGGTTGCCACCACCAGTTGCGGAGCAGAAGAGCCCTACGACAACTCCCGCCTTGCTTGGCTTGGCGATGCCGACGCTCGGGCGCGGTATGGCCGGGGGTTTTGTGGGCCACATGTTTGGGGAGTCATGGGCAGTGAGTTTGGAGGTGGCTTCTAATGAAATGGCATAGCGGCATAGCCATATCAACTGACAAGTCACGGTTGAAAATAGGGCTGGGCCAGAAGGTAGTCGATTGTTAAATCCATCCCAAGAGTCCCAGGTGAGCCACATTCAACACCTGGGTAAGTGAAGGTTAAGGACCATCCCAGCCATGGGGGGGGGGGATATCCGCCTCAATTCTTTATGTAGGTATGGGTCAAAATTTGTCACCGCCAGGATATGACCCGCAGGTTTTAGTCCTTGTTTCCATTACTAGGGTTCCATTTTGGGTACCTCTTTGTTTGATCCACACCCACCTGGTTTTGGGTGGACCGGTTTAGCACCGATGGGTTTTGATTATGACGTCATGACCGTTTTTGTTTTGGGACGGGACACCAGGAGCAAAAAGAAAACATTTTGGGGGGGGGGTCCGATTCGCAAAAAAACACGCGTCCAAATCCATCCCAAGCTTTGGTGCATGTTGCTTGGATGTTAGGACTTTAGCTTTTTGCCAACTAATGGGTTTTCCGAATTAGACCACGAAAAGTTAGACTTTTAGCAGGGGAGCAGAACCGAGCAAGGCTCAGAGTCCCAGGTGGTTTTCTTCATCGCCGTGTCCTGGGCCATGGAGTTGGAGGTCTCCGTTCCGCTGCCGCAGCGGCAGCAGAAGGTGGCAGCGCTGATCTCCAACAGGCGCCGGAAGCTTTTCCTGGTAACCCAGCTGGGGACTTTGGCAGAAAACATCGATCCGGAACTATCTCCCCCTCAGCTTACCGAGGCCAAGGGCCTGGAAATTGGGGGCACTGGATATCAATCAACCCCATGCCCTGTCTCACCCCTTTTTTGGTTGGGAGGGTTCCCCTACTAAAATAGACTACAGCAAAAAGTTGGTGCCCTTATTCTAGCCCCTCTACTGGAGGACCTAGTTTTGGGAGCCGAGCCGGTTCCAAGCGTGCCAGGTGCTTGGGCCAAGCGGCAGCGGCCTTGAAACTTGAGGACTACCTCAACACAGGCGCTCCGTGCCGGCCGCGGTCCGCGGAGCGAGCGGCGGAGCGAGGGACCCGGTTTTGGGGCAATGTGAGACTCGCGGTGTTTGGTGTTTGGTGTTTGAGCTCTCCCGAAAGCCCGGCAAGAGTCAAGTTGGTGTGAGAGACACGATACATGTGCGCCATGAAAAGGCCCCTACTTATGCTTCTACGAACGTTTGAAGGCAATCCGCGATATCCTTCCCGTGGAATGCCCAGTCACGCAGGATTGGCCGCTGCAGTCTTTCCCAAAAGCAATCCGAAACACCTGATTGGAATTCAAACCCACCCTGCTTCAACAGCCCAGCAACCTGGTTTGCAAGAAACAAATGTGCCATTGAGAAGGCTATCCCTGGAAGAGCCAAGCATATACCCTAAGAAGGCCTGAACCAATTAATCAGGCCTTAGGATCCACAATTCCTTGCTGATTCCCACCAAGGAATCGCCGTTTTTCGGGAAACCGGAAGGAAATAAATCCCCTATATTAAGCCTAAGAAACCCTGGAATGATTCGATTCCCCAATGCAACTACCAACAAACGTGATGGTTTGGACTATGGTTTCATTTCATGGTGAATTCGAGGGGATTTCGCAGCCATCCTCAGGAAGCCAGGGATTCATAGGGGTCACATCCACTTTTTCCCTAACCACCAAATGGCTACTTCCCTGAGCCTCCCAATGGCCGGGGCCCATGTCGAACCGCGCTCAGTGCCTCTGGCGGCTTCTGGCGAGACCCGCGAGGCTTTGGGGCGCAAGGCGCCTGCTGACGCCATGGAAGCCCTGCTGGGAGCCGCAGTTTTGGCAGGCGAGCACTCGCACAGCCACCATCAAAACTCGGGTAGATGAAGGTTGGTAAGGGACAATCCCAACCATAAATGGGTGCAGCTGCCTGTCAATTCTTTGCATGGTTCTGGGTAAATCATTTGTGTACCAAGCTTTGCCTTTCTCTGACTTGCTTCTTCTTATTGGTGCGTAGGTAGGGAATGACCCAGGGTGGGTGTCGGGAATGAACCGGTTTGGGGGATTCCCGAAGAAAGGACGCCACCAGTTGGGATTCGGGGCAAGGTGCCCTTGGTCTTGTGGGGGCCAGGAAGATTGATCAACCAGCTCAAGAATATCACCGCAAAAAGTCCCAAAGCACACTCAGACTTGCTGGCTCTCCAATGGTCATAGGACCTTTTGATCAACCCCCTGAGCTACTGTGGATCGACAGAATCCTGCACTACCTAGAACACCTGACGATTCTCCGACGCAAATACCGACAACCATTATGGTTTCAACCATGGTTTCAAAGTGGTGCGCACAGATTTCGCCCATGCACACTGTCTCTCTTGTTGGTTCCCTTTTTCTCTCCAAGAGCTGTGAAGCTTGGGTTCTCTGGGGTATTTTTGTTCAAACAAAGCGCTGGCAACGGGGCCTTTTTTGTTAGCAGGTTCCGGAAGGTTTTAAAGCAACACCGCATGTTTTTTTGGTTTTTGCCCAAGGGGGGGAGTATTTGTTTATCAATTTGTCCAGCTTTGGTGTTGATGCTTATGTGTGGTGCTGGCTTCTGGATCTGTCGATTGTGTCTTCCGCTGTTTGTTTTTGCGAGGTTCTTCAGCGGAAAGCTTCGGGGTTTCTGGGAGTTGCGAGCCGCGAGGGTTCACGTCCGGGTTCCTGCTCCGGATTTTTTTTCTGGGGATGCCTGTGCTGATTTGTGGCTCGGAGTTTTAGAGCCGGACTGCAGGTTTTAGTCTTTTCCATACAGCGCCCCATTCCCCATTTCAGGCAAGCCTATTTTTCAGCCGCCACACCCAGGCTTCCAACTTCTTGCGAATCATATCTTCACAGTTCTTGGCATGGTTTTGGGATTTTTAGTTGTTTGGTTCTGTTCATTTTTCCTGGTTCGCTGCAAAAAATAACACAAAGGTTTGTTGCTACCATACCAAGAGTTGCAGAGATATACCCAGTTGCCCAGTGGTGCCCAGTGGTGCCCTTTTTTTTCCTTTCTTTTGGGAAGGGTTCCCCTTTAAAGTCAACCAACCCAAAAAGGATGCCCTTTTTTTTCTCCCATGTTTGCTGGGCATTTGAGTATAGGTGAGCTTCTGTACGGTATTTTGAGCCCCCCGTTTCTGGGTGCGCCCGGGTGGAGACTGGTTTGGGTTCAGGCGGCCTGGAGGCCGCCTGTGCGGTGATGCGGCAGCTGCCCTGGTTCGGCACGGAGGACGGGGAGGTTTGTCTCCGGTTGTAAGAACCCAGGGCTTCCATCCAAAAACACTTGGCTGCTATTGGGTGGGATCTTTAGACTTTATCTGTTTGGGAAAACAATAATTGTTCGACTAAACCCCAAACAGTTACGTAAGCTTTTTGCAGGGGGGTCAACAGCAACCAAGAATAGAGACCAACAGTAGCTGATGTGTCAGCATATCTTTACTGTCGATCCACCCCCCACGAAAAGAGTGCTACAAGAGTACTGAAAAAGAAGCTGACAGGGGAAGAACTGGGGAAATCCACAAAAAGCAAAACGAACCGTTTTCGAGAAAACAACGGGGGTGTTTTTTGTTTGTTTGTAGGAATCGGATCCCCCCCAAAATGGTGATTTTCCTTTTGGTTTCCCTTTAAAGCCACAACCCAAAACTCGGGGTACCCTCAAAAGAACACCCAAATGTGGGTTGGTGGGTTTGGTTTGGGTTTGAGTTGGGGCGGGTTTGGGTTGGGTTGGGCCAGGCTTATTTGTTTGTTTGTTTGATTGATTGTGTTTTACCAGGAATGCCAGTTTCCCTTGGGTCCCCCTCACAACCTTGACAGGGCTGCCGTCCAAAAATCGAGACAAGGGTTTGAGTATGTGCCGGCGTATCTTTACCCACAAAACATACGTGTCGCCCACAAGGTCTTATTATGCTGTATATCGTGCTGGCAGGTTTAGGGTTCTTAGGGTTTAGGTTTAGGGTTTTAGGGTTTAGGTTTAAGGTTTTTAGGGTTAAAATTTATTTTTTTCAGGGTTTAGGTTTAAGGTTTGTAAGGTTTAGGTTTAGGGTTTGTAAGGTTTGGGTTTTGGGTTGTTAGGGTTTAGGTTTAGGGGTTGTTAGGGTTTAGGTTAGGGGTTTTAGGGTTTAGTTTAGGGTTTGATTTTTTGTTTTAGGCTTAGGATTAGGGTTTTTTAAGGTTTAGGTTTAGGGTTTCAGGGTTTAGGGTTTAGGTTTGCTTGGAGCTGGCTGTCCGGCGCATCCGAGGCTGGCTTGTCTGGTTTAGGTTTAGGGTTGTGTTGATGATAGCAGTATATTATACAACCAGGAGAAGTTGCCGCGCTCCATGAAGGGGGTATGGAGCATGGAGCTGGGGTGGGGCCCTGGGGGCTCGGAAGTGCGTTTTTGCTGCGCATGCCACGCTTTTTGGAGGTCTCGCGACTCGCTTCCGGGCGGTTACGTTTGGTTTTAGTTTTGTCATCTCTTGTTTTTTTCTGGTTCTGTTTATTTGTAGCTGCAAAAAAAGTGTTTTTCTACCATACCAAGGATTGTCAAGATATGGAAACACAACAAGCATCGCCGCTTTCCTTTTGCCTTTTGCTGAGCCTCACGAAAAGCACCGCCCAAAATTTGTTGAGACAACCCACCACACGCCAACTTGGATGTTCAAGCTACTTAGCATGTTATAACCATGGTAGGCCAACTAACCCCAGTGAGGCCATGCAGTTCAAAACCTTTTGACTATAACCCATCGTAGGTGGAACGTCCAAGCAGTCAGGTTTCATGGGTGGCAACTTAAGGTACAAGGTGCACCTCAGTCCACCTCACTGGGGTTCACCTGGGCGAACCTTGTGAAAAGCCCGCACCGAGCCACGACGAACCGTCAGGATGGCGATGGTTATGCAGTGCCCCTCGGCTCGCCGACAGATGCTGCCAGTTGGCTTGGAGCTGCAGTGGCGCCAGGCTCAGATGGCGGAAAGAAGCAGAGGCGTTGAAGGGCTGGTTTTGCTGGATCCTCCAAAACGGTTACCTTCTCCGGCTCTTCCCAAGAACTATCCTCCCTTTATTGCTTTCCCCATGTCCAAAATCCCCCGCGTAGTGTCCAAAAAGCAGTTGGGGGTGCTGGTTCGGGTTGTACTAAACACGACACGGCGCCGGGCCACAGGCGCCGGTCTGGCCCCAAATGGTGAGTGCGGAAGATAAATATGGCTCTACATGAAAACATGGGGAAGGACCGAACACAAACAAGAAATAGAAGAAACACAAGTGGACATAAGCCCCAATGTAATGTATGTGACCCACCAGCGGGATTCTCCCAGAATTGACATTCATACCATGTTTTGTTCAGAGATGGCTGGTGGAAATAAAGCTTCATGTGCTGCCCTGCAGCCCCCTCCAAAGGCAACAAAAGCGAGAACCTTGTGAGGAATCTCCCGACCCCCCTTTATGGGCTTCATGTTTTCTAGGGCACAGGGTTGACGCCTTCTCTTTACCGTGCCAGATCAGAGCTGCCGGTTGCAAGCTTCGAATGCCAAAGAAATGGCCGTGGGTCAAAAGTAGGCACCCAAAGTGGAGACCTGGTAAATGGACACATGGACGAAAAGCGAACGCAACAAGTTTGCCCCTTCTCTCTCTTTCTCAAGAACTTCTTCTTCATCCATCTTCCATCCAGACTCAGGTCCTCTTGCCTGCCTTCTAAGGGCTGTTGCTATGGTCCCCCGGTGGTGTAATATTAACCACCACCCATATTACGAAACCCAAGCCATCATTTCTAGAGGACTCCCCCCTTTTTTGAGGGAACCTGAAATCGGGTTCCGCGTCAATCTGCAGGTGTTGGGTGAAAGCACAGGCTGCCTCCCCATGTTGGTTTACCATCCAGGCCCAAAAGGGAGTCTGGTACTCTGGTGTAATAGGGTACTGACAGACACCAGCAAACCTTTAGGTGCAAGTCTGCTTACCTATAGTGGCAACTGGGATCTGGGAAGAATAACGCACCAAATACATACCACAAACGTTTTGAGGCTTGGTTTCATTTAAGCGAAGGAGGCCTCAGGGGAGCAGAATGCGACCAGCTAGGTATAACCGACTCGGTAGTTTCACTCACAAAAAATGCGAACTAACAAAACAAGAGAGAGCCAACTAACTCAGATAGGGAAGCCAAGAACAAACCAACGATAGACCGCCAGAACACCAAAAGTAGACCAAAAGTCGATCAGTATACCCAAAGCTCGGGAGTCACGACAGGAATCCCAAAGTAACCCCTGGGAGCCCAAGAAATATGAGGACCTTAGAAATATGAGGACCTTGAAAGCCTTTTTTCAGGCCTCCAAGAATGACCCTGCCCAGTGGCACCTTTTTTTTTGCATTTTTTGGGGGGTAAAGGGTTCCCCTTTTAAACTCAACCAACCAAAGAAGGCAGATTCTTGGCTTCGCCGGGATGTGGGCTCCACTCACTCCAATTGGGGGGGGGGGGTCTTGGGCAATGTGGCGGAACCAACCAACAAGACCCATGGAAATCCACTGGGCATCTGAGATGAGGTCTTGGGCTTGCGAACCAAACACGCGTCCTTCCTCAAAAAAAGGGTGCCCAATTTTTGTTTTCCCATGGAAATCCCCTGGGCATCTGAGATGAGGACCTTTTTTGCTGCTTGCGAACGAAGAAAAACCAGTCTTTCCAGGTCTCAGAAGGTCCGAAAAACCTTCGATCGAGGTGCGCCTCAGCTGCTCCGCTTGGGTTCTTTGCCATCACCCCGAGCTCTCGGCCCAGGGCCTCTCTGCGACTCGGCCGACCGTTGGGGTGGATGCGTGTGGAGGCTCCGGCTGCTTAAGATGATCGTGTTCACTTTTTTATGGTTAGCATATTTTTGCATGTCTGGTGAGTTTAAAGGAAATCTATCATGGGAGTAGGTAGTGTGTTGGTGTTCTATTGTTTAATAAACCATGTGTGGGGACTTATTATCTAGGCTCGCAGGGGAGGGTTGGATTGAGACCTCAGTAGTTCACCAGGTGTTTTGAGTTTCAGGTATACATCTTCCCCTGGGTGCCGGGTCGCACTTGGGAAGTTTCCGGGCGCGCGCAGTGAATCCCAGGCAAGCCACTACTACAGGTAAATACAATCGCTGGGAAGGGTGTCCTAGATCCGTTGGCCCACAGGGCTTTCTCTTGAGTCCGAAAGCTGGCGAAGACACCAACCTTCGGGATGGCGCAATTCTCGCGGGACCCGTGATTTGCATGTTCGGAGAGCCTGGGACAAGCCCGCGAGGGATGTTGAAAGCATTCGCCTTGGTTGCCCGAAAAAATGTGAAATCCCTTTTGGGGGATCTCTATTGATGGGCTTTCCCGACACAGCTCAATCCCTAAACAGTGGGTCGTTCCGCTTTATGAGCAATGCCCCATATTGTTTTCCTGTCGCTTTCAAAACTTTCCTTTCAACACTTGGGTATGTTTCAAGTTGGGTGACCCCGAATTCGAATGCCTGGTGCCCTTTTGGTCTTCCTCAAATGACAGAAAGCAAAGCGGGGTACCCAAAAAGAGCACAGCCACACACAGACGCACCTGGACCTGCTTCCGTCACTGTGGGTTCATGTTCCGAAGTCCGTCGCTCGACAAAAAGCCGAGCCAAGGACCTGCGGCAGGAGTTGCTGACGCAAGGAGACGCGCGGCTCGCGTGTGTGAGGATCATCCCCCTTCTCTTCTTGTTTCAAGAAGCTTGGAAGTGTACCCCAAACCCATGGAGAATCAAGAGGGCTACTTGACATCCGCACCTGTTCAGCTCTTTTCGCGGAATCCGCCCCGTTTTTTTGGATGCTCACCTGATTTCAGGAAGCTGAGGAACAAGGAAATGGGCAAAACTTGCTGATGATTTGGGTTGTGTAAAGGAAACGTGCTAGCGCAGGTTCTCGGACTAGCGCACGTTCTGGAATTGGAGGTTCTCGCTGCGACAGCTTCCCCGCAGCTGGTGGCTTCTTTGATTTGCAGATCAATTAGGTCCAGCTCACATGCTCGCATTTGGTCAGAGAACGGCTTTGGTGGACACAAGGAGAGGTTGGGATTCTAATTACTATGGTCATTTTTGAGTGGCTTCAGTGTTCAAACCCAAGGCCACATATGGTGTGTGTGTGTGTCTGCGTGTTTGAATTTTGAGGGCACTCGTTTAACTGCAAACTTAAATGGGAACTGAAAGGGACACACACACACACACACATCATTTTGGGGTGTGAAAAACCTATTTGGGTATGTTCTTTATTTGGAGTTGGTACTCCTGTTTGAGTGGTTCCACCAGTTTTCAGGTTGCCCCTAATTGGTGGTTTGGATTGGTGATTTGAACCCCTAGCGTTTGTAGAGGGTAAACGGGGTTTCCCAGCCCACCAAGCCACCGATTCGGCTCCGGCTCCAAACCGCCAGGGGTAGGTTGAAGTTTGGGGGTCTAAACTCTTTTGCCCTGTGTTCCTGTTTTTTGGCCAGGGTTCCCTTTTCAACTCAACCAACAAAAAACGGATGCCCCTTTTTCTTATGGAAATGCACTGGGCATCTGAGAGACAGCCCCACTTGGCAGCAGATCTGCCAGCCCTTTCCAGGTCCTCCAAGCGCTCCGGCACCGGATGCGGAGCTGGACCGACGTGGTTCCCAATCCGTTTCGCCAGCGACTTGTACCCAGTGATTCCTCTGGTGTTGTAGGTGACCAAGGGAGCCACCCACTAGGAAAACCAAAAGGAAACATAGTTACCTACTATGGTGGTAACGAATGCACTGGGGTAGGCAACCAATTGTTGAATTGTCCTCTTGGTTTTTCTAGGCGTGAAACGCCTTGGTTACCCGCACAGGGAAAAGGATTTTGCTGGGAGGGAGGTGGGACTAACAAAAACATGTGGCAGGCGTTGGGGCATCTGAAAAGCTTTCAAGTTTCAATCTTTCCAACTTGGAGGATTTCAATGATTTTTCGGCTCCTGTCCAGGAAGCCTGGGCTGGCACACGCGTGGCAAGCACCACAATGGGTGTGGTGCTGGCTGGAGCCTTGATTCAGAGCACCTTGATTCAGAGCTCCAGGCCTTTGAACCGGATTAACTACTTGGAACTTGGAACCCCCAAGACCACAGATTTGTCTTTTCACTGTCCTCTTGGACCCTCGTTTTGGGTTGCGTAGAGAAATTTGCAGGGGAGCACAGACCAAGAAGAGGTTTTCCTTTCTTTGCCGGTTGCGGGCCAGGGCATGGCCGATTTTGACTCTCATGGAACCGGAGGTCTGGGGTAAGCATTGAGGACATACTGATGAGCGAAGTCCATTTCGCGCCGTTCAGAAACCCTGAATTAATCGATTCCCCTGTAAATTACAAACAATGGTTTCAACCATGATTTCTCAGGTGGTGCGAACGGATTTTGTCCAGCCACAGTATCTTTCAGACTGAGGCAGAGCTCTTCAGCTACTGGGACAAGCTCGAGCTCGGACAAAAGCATCGCTGCACTAAGTCTGGAAATCCTTGGATGCTTGTTCGTGACGACTAGATTGCATCAATATAATGATAGTCACTGCAGTGGTTGCTACGAAGCCCGCGCTAGCGCGCCCCTCCACGGGAACTTGCTCAATCTTCTTTTCAATGGAGATTAAAACCCTGATGTATCAATGGTTCCGGATTGACCCGCGCTCATGGGCTCTTCAAGCCTGCGCGGTCTTGTTTGCATTTTTGCGATGGCGCATCAGCGGTGTGGACTGCTGCTCTTTAGCACGGCTCAGAGCGCCTTGGCGTTGGCCCTCAGCTTGACCGGAACTGCAGCCCGAAGCTATTGAAACGATCCAAATCAAGGGATGCGTCCAGAATTCGGGTGTGGTCATCCAAACATGTGGATTAGAGGAATATCATTTTCGTTTGCTCCTTTTCCTCCAATATGCTGTTTAGTTTGGACTCCTGGATGCCATTTGATTTGGCAGTGGATTTTTTCAGGGGGGATGTACCCTCCCAAATGGTGGGTGAACATAAAACCCCGCCCATTTGATGTCCACCACACAGTTTCCAATGCAAGATTGCAAGATTCGGACAATTTAGCCTCCACAATAATATGACTTTTACCCATTCCGACACACACACACACACACCTTTGTCATACCTTTTATTTGGACCCGCGCGAATCCAGCCAGATTCCACTTTTGGGGGGCTTCTATTGCCAGCTTGCGTCGCCATGCGAGCATGTCCAGAAGCGCCGGGCTCTTGTCTGCCGGGGTTTTCGGGGTATCCTCTTGTGCCTGGGGAAGGGCTGGTAGGGAACTAGGGAAGTTGGTACCCTCCCACCAGCGATTCCATGGAAGTGCACAGACCCCTGTAGGAAGACTACTTTCCTCTTAGAAAGGGCCTTTTTGCATTTCCATGTTAGTTGGTGGGAGGGTATCTGATTTTGACAAATAATTTGCAAGGGAGCCTTTTTGAGCTGGCGATGGGAGTTCTGGTCATATTGCACTACCTTTGAAGCCAGGGGTTTTGTGGGCACAACCAACCCCTAGTTTTTGAAAATGGATCCCAATGAGGAAACCGACAGACACCCCCCCCGGTTTTTCGAAAGCAAACCCTGGTTGACGAGGAGGATTTGCGACTTGATGCGACTTGTTTTAATCAAAGGCATCCTTGCCACTTGGTTCCCGTTGAGAATAGCGGGACCTGGCAGTGTTTCGAGTGTAACCCTTTTGGGGGGGCTGCTTTGTTCTCATAAAGAGGCTGTCAACATTTGCAAGCCTCGGTGTTTGTTCTTGTTGAATGACTGAATGGCGTTGCCCTTGTTTGGTTTCTTTCTCATGGATTTTGGCTTGAGGCTGGAGACATCTCTGTCGGACCCAGGGACGATTCAGGAAGCCGGTGCCACAAATGATTTCCCCACTCGGGGGGGTGGGAATTTTCAGCATCTCGTAGCTCCCGATGAGTTCGGCCACCCGGATTCCTCACGAAATGATGGGGGTGCACCCATGTTGTCCCCATTTTTCCCCGCTTCTTTGGGGAAGCACGACGATTGTCGGCGGCTTACCTGCAATTTGCCGACTGAAAGAGCGGAGTCACTTTTATACCCATTTGCTGAAGAACGATAAGCCATCTACCTCTTCAGCAGAAAAGAGTCATCTAGTTTCCGCATGACAAGCAAATTGGTGTTGTATCCAGGATTGCGACTTGGCGGGCGCAAGTTGGCAAGTGCCGCGTGCTCGAATTGGCGCAGTGTTCGGCTTCAGCACCGCAAGCGAAGAGCCCTTCGCGATGGACTGTGACACATGTGGCCTAGTTCGCGCGCTGAGCCTGGAGCCACCGAGTTTGAAGAGGATGAAGCAGGTTGCCCAGCAGAGAGCCGTGAATGGTAGGATTCTTCATCCTGCCGAACCAAGTCCTATCCAAGAAGAATGCCAGGTCGGTCCAAAAGAAGCCAAAGAAGCCAAGTTCCCCAAAGGGCGCTTGCAGTCGTGAGACAGTCAGTGGCTTGGCTATGTTCCAAGGCCGCTTTACGGCTGGCATTACCCTAGCGTTCCCGCAGGGAAGCCAGCCGAGAATTTTGGAGTTTCCCAGATTACTAAGCAAGGTGGGTTTGACAGACAGCTACCAAGTCCATTCTTCGGAGGATGTTAGGGCAGGAGCATGTCTGTCATGATCTCGCCATGGGGCTGCACGGACAGCCCAATGCGAACATATTAAATCTTCCCCGCTACTCGGTTTGCGGACGTCGCGGAAACTCACTACCTGAGTTCATTGACTTTGGCCTCTGGGTTTGGACCATTTTAGTTGCAAACAAGGCGATCGGTTACTTTGGCGAATCGACTCAGGAAGTGAGTAGAACAGTTGACCTGTGCTTGCTAGCAACCTGATCCGCATGTCCTTTGGTTTTAGTGGGCAGTAGTCCTCGGAAGTGCGAAGTTCGCTAGCAGTCTGAAATACCATAACGAGTATTTGCCCGATCTGCGGCAAGGCAATTTGGAATGTGAGGCCTCATATCATGACAGCAGTATCTCTTCACTGTTTGGGAGCCTTATGTCCAGAAACTTGCAACCTGGAACAGGTGGGTTTGAAAAGCATGGTTAAGAATGGAGAATCATCAACTCCGAGCAACTAGGAAAGCCAAGCGCATTCCAAAGTTTGCCTTTGCAGCACACGTCGGGTGATTTGTTGGCTCGTCCAAAAGCTGAACGAACACGGCTGGAGCGGCCGGTCACGGTGAAGCAGTCGCCAGTCAAAAGCGGCGACATGTGTTTTTGCTGTTAAGCAGCTCAGGTCATTTTGCAGCCCTTTTGGTATTTGAAGCCGAAGCGGAAATTACCTTCCATGGGAAACCTCCAGTTGCCCTGAGCGAGGCTCAAACAACTTTCAAGTGACACTGGGATCTCAACCCATCTTGGCACCATATGGGAATGAAATTTAACTAGGGACCCTGTGGTGGACATCAGAATTCGGAGATTTATGTCCACCACTTTCAGGGGGTTCCAACCAAACTTCAGAGCCATAATAGATACAAGGGACATGTATCGAGGGAGAGCCCACGTCTTTGGTAACTATGAGCTTGGCCACCCGATGTCCTCACGGAAATAGGGGGCGGGGGGGGGGGGGGTTGGCACCCATGTTGTCCCCATTTTTCCCCGCTTCTTTGGGGAAGCACGACGATTGTCGGCGGCTTACCTGCAATTTGCCGACTGAAAGAGCGGAGTCACTTTTATACCCATTTGCTGAAGAACGATAAGCCATCTACCTCTTCAGCAGAAAATAATCATCTGGTTTCCGCATGACAAGCAAATTGGTGTTGTATCCAGGATTGCGACTTGGCGGGCGCAAGTTGGCAAGTGCCGCGTGCTCGAATTGGCGCAGTGTTCGGCTTCAGCACCGCAAGCGAAGCGCCCTTCGCGATGGACTGTGACACATGTGGCCTAGTGCGCGCGCTGAGCCTGGAGCCACCGAGTTTGAAGAGGATGAAGCAGGTTGCCCAGCAGAGAGCCGTGAATGGTAGGATTCTTCATCCTGCCGAACCAAGTCCTATCCAAGAAGAATGCCAGGTCGGTCCAAAAGAAGCCAAAGAAGCCAAGTTCCCCAAAGGGCGCTTGCAGTCGTGAGACAGTCAGTGGCTTGGCTATGTTCCAAGGCCGCTTTACGGCTGGCATTACCCTAGCGTTCCCGCAGGGAAGCCAGCCGAGGATTTTGGAGTTTCCCAGATTACTAAGCAGGGTGGGTTTGACAGACAGCTACCAAGTCCATTCTTCGGAGGATGTTAGGGCAGGAGCATGTTTGTCATGATCTCGCCATGGGGCTGCACGGACAGCCCAATGCGAACATATTAAATCTTCCCCGCTACTCGGTTTGCGGACGTCGCGGAAACTCACTACCTGAGTTCATTGACTTTGGCCTCTGGGTTTGGACCATTTTAGTTGCAAACAAGGCGATCGGTTACTTTGGCGAATCGACTCAGGAAGTGAGTAGAACAGTTGACCTGTGCTTGCTAGCAACCTGATCCGCATGTCCTTTGGTTTTAGTGGGCAGTAGTCCTCGGAAGTGCGAAGTTCGCTAGCAGTCTGAAATACCATAACGAGTATTTGCCCGATCTGCGGCAAGGCAATTTGGAATGTGAGGCCTCATATCATGACAGCAGTATCTCTTCACTGTTTGGGAGCCTTATGTCCAGAAACTTGCAACCTGGAACAGGTGGGTTTGAAAAGCATGGTTAAGAAT